CTGCAAAAGAAGTGATGCGGATGAATGGCATAACAAAATCCTTTTTAGCCAATCACATTGCTGATACTGTTGCTGGAGCTGTAACAATAAGGGCTTTTGAGGTGGAAGATCGTTTCTTTGAGAAGAATCTTGATCTAATTGACATAAATGCTAGTGCTTTCTTCCATAGTTTTTCATCAAATGAGTGGTTGATTCAACGATTGGAAGTAGTCTCTGCAATTGTTCTTGCCTCTGCAGCACTTTGTATGGTTATGCTCCCACATGGAACTTTAGCTTCTGGTGAGATTTTGGTCATTTTTACCACTAAAAATTAAAATGACATTTTTTGAGTAAAATAATTATATTATAATTATTTTCTTTCATCCTAATAAGAGCATGATCTCTCTTGATGCAAAATTCTTAAATTCAATATCCTTTTTTTTTCAGGATTTATTGGCATGGCCCTCTCTTATGGTCTTGCACTAAATAATTCATTAGTGTTATCAATTCAAAGTCAATGCAATCTAGCAAATTATATTATATCTGTAGAAAGGCTAAATCAATATATGCATATACCGAGTGAGGCTGAAGAAGTAATAGAAGGAAATCGTCCTCCTTTGAATTGGCCTATTGCAGGCAAAGTAGAAATACATGATTTGCAGGTAATTATTTAGTTACATTTTCGAAAATTCAAATCTTGATGTTCAGAAATATAGGAGTTCAAAAGATCGACATGATTTACATGTTTATACCAAAACAGATACGATATCAGCCAGAAGGGCCACTTGTACTCCAAGGTATCACTTGCACATTTGAAGGAGGGCACAAGATTGGTATTGTTGGTAGGACAGGCAGTGGAAAGTCCACTCTTATTAGTGCTCTATTTCGTCTTGTGGAACCAGCAGGAGGAAAAATTGTAGTTGATGACATAGACATCTCTTCTATTGGCCTTCATGATTTGAGGTCACGTTTTGGTATTATACCTCAGGATCCTACACTTTTTAATGGGACAGTTGGATATAATTTAGACCCTTTATCTCAACACTCTGACCAAGAGATATGGGAGGTAATGCAAGTTATAATTTGCTTAATTATGTTTACTTTTTAGAGAAAATGTGAACCAATTCTTGCTTAATAAAAACTCATGTTCATAGTAAGCGTCTTGTTTTTGCGCGATGATTAGACTCTTGGTAAGTGTCAACTACGAGAAGTTGTTAAGGAGAAAGAAGAGGGCTTAAACTCCCCAGGTACACTTTCAAGTTTAACTATATAACTATTTTCTACATGCACTTTCCTAATTAGAAATGATTTGGACAAACTTGTTACACAGTTGTTGGAGATGGATCAAACTGGAGCATGGGCCAAAGGCAGCTATTCTGTTTGGGGCGTGCTCTTTTGAGGAGAAGCAAGATACTGGTGTTGGATGAAGCAACTGCATCAATTGATAATGTAACTGATATGATTCTACAGAAAATCATTAGGACCGAGTTTGCAGATTGTACAGTGATCACAGTAGCTCACAGGATACCAACCGTGATGGATTGTACTATGGTTCTTTCAATTAGTGATGGTAAGTTGTTTATTAACTTCCACTTTATGTCATTTAACAAATATTTCATATTTGTCCACAACAGTATTTTTGTTTTCATATGTTGACATCAAACTATCCTTTCCTAAGTAAATATGATGTAAAGAGTGCAAAATAATGGAAGTCTTTCATCCCTCCTAGAAGTCTACCTAGATAGATATACCACTTGGTTTGTAATACACCACACATAGTTTGTTGTAGAGCAAAGGTTTTAGTTGCATTCACATAGGTAAAAGGTGATATAATAAACAATGAAGTAGCTGATTGAACATTTCCACTTCCTTGGTTATTGATTTTCACACTTGAAATGATATATATATTGACAGGAAAATTAGCCGAATATGATGAACCGATGAACTTGATGAAGAGGGAAGGATCGCTATTCAGGCAGCTTGTCAAGGAATACTGGTCTCATTTTCAGTCTGCAAAATCACAATGATCAGCCATTTTATTTTTTTTTTGCTAAACATTGCTATCCATTATTGTTTGCTATTAGCATTAAGTCATGTGGTAGATCTGAAGTGTGTTTTGTAAAGTTAAACTGAGGCCTGAGATATGAGAAACAAAGGGGTATCTAAAGGGTCCTCCCAATCCAAGACAAATCCACCAAACATCTTACTAAGTTACTAGTGAAATTTTGACGTTATCCAAATCTACTTATAAAAACTTTCGAAACCAACGATTAAATTGATTAATTATATATATATATATATATATATATATATATATATATATAAAGAAAAAGAAATAAATTTCAAATTAATTAAAATGTGGAGTTTAAAATGTAAACTCCAAGTTTTATAAACATCTCTCAAATCACTCTTTAGTATAAATATATTATAAATTTAAATATAGCTATTTTTTTACTAAATCTAAAAGTTTATTTTTTTATATTTGATATTTTATTAACACTTAAATATAAAAAAAAATTTCAATGACCCTTTTAAATTGGTGAATTAAACGAGAGAGAAAGTTCTGGCAGAGTAATGAATACATAATTATATAATTAAAAAAGCCAGAAAAGAAAATTTGAGAACTGATTTAAAAAGAAAGTAATTATTATCATATACGTGGGTGGGTCAAGATCAAATGGCCCCGGTTACTGAACTTAGTAAAATTACAATATTACGAATAACTGTTTCTATTAAAAAAAATCTTATAAATTCCACCGTTAATTCTTATTACAATGAAGATAATATATTTAATAATGTATGCATTAAATATTATAAATATAGTATTCAATTATAGCTATTTATTTATATTTTAAATCATATATTCTTTGTTAAAATACAGTGAAGAGATAACATTGAATGTACTGTCGTATTAAATGCTTTGTTTTTAAATATAATATAAAATAAACTTACAAAATATAATTAAATACTACATTCAGTTAATATAATATATTTATTATATTTTCATTATATTTCATGTATATGTATTAAACGTATAGCTTTTCATATTTATAAAGTTTATAAATTTTTATGAATTTAAATAAAATGGGGTTGTAATAAATTTAATATAAAAATTATAAATTATTTGTTTATCTTTACTTAGAAAACAAATTATTCATTATTTTTCTTAAAATATATAATTTTTTGGGTAAAGAAGAAAAGAAAAAACAAATAAATTAAAATATATAATTTAAATGACTAATAATATAATAGGTGTAAATTGATAAACATAACAATATTTAATTTATTAATTTTAAATTTTCACTTTTTTATTTACGTAAATTGTTGAGTTATTCATTCAAAGATGTAATAAAAATATTCTTATTTTAAATTATTTTTATTCATAAAATTTTTATTTTTATATGTTAAAAATTTAATCTTAACATTTTTTATCATCATACTTTTGTTTTAATATTTAATTTTAATGAATTGGATTTTATTTAGTATAAACAATTAAAGAAAATGACAATTGCAGGTTTTAAAATATAATTTACAACTTTCTATGTTTTATTTAGAAATATAATAAATGTAAAATCCAAATGTTATGATATCATGAATATTTTTCATATATGTCAAAAAAAATATTAAATTGAGTTTAAAAAAGTAATTTTTTACATCTTTTATATCTGATTTAATGATCTATTGTATATGTATGGATATATTTTTACTTTATATGTATTTTCTCGTTTTGGTCACAGCACATCATCTACTATATCTCAGGCCTCATAAATTAACAAACATTTTTGCATCTTGAATATCATGACACTTTCTTGACTTATTGCTAAAACCAAAGCAAGATAAAAAATTATTATTACCTTAAAAAATAAAAATTTGTCAATATCAAGTTAATCAATTTACATAATGCTAGGTTAAAAGTTTTTACTAATTTTTAACTTAATCGTATTTTTAGAAAATGTGTTGAAACTGGAGGGTAACAGCTTTTATTTGTTGCCCACCTTGCAGTGACATGATGTTTAGATCCATAAAGAGATCATTTTAAATTTGAAGTTGAGAAATACTCCATCCTGCTATCAATTTGAATAATCTTAATTTAACTTGAGCATTTTTTAAGTGTTATTTTTATTTTCATTTAGTTATTTGACTTGATTTAATTATATATATTTTTTAATTTTTTATTTCTTTTGAATATATTTTTATATTGAATTTTAGATTTACTTAAATTTTACATTTTCATACATTGTTAGGATCAATCTATTTAATAAAAAGTCATGAATTTCTTCATGCAAATAGAAATTGTCATGATCACAAATAGGAATAATTTTAGGCCATTTGAACTTGAAAACAAAAAATAAAGATGTATTTTTTAGATAAAGTGAAATTTAAAATAAGCGCAAATTGTCGAATTGAATTTGAATTTAATTTTATAAATTTCTGATTTTAGTATATTATATTAATAATGATCATGTCTCTTTCTTTTAATCAAGTATTTTCATTTTTTTAATTTTAAATGTCCTATTTCCTTAAATCAATTCTATTTAATATAATAGAATGTTCATCGTTGATAATAAAAATATTTACTACTTTCTTTAATTCTTATTTATAATTTATTTAAATTAAAAAATCATGTAATGCACCTATAGTTTTTTTTATTGAAAATCTTATTTAAACTAAAAATTATTCTTACAATATTAAAAAAATCTAACTAATAATTATATATTTTATTACAGATACATCACACATGTACCTAGATAGTAGCAAGCATGTTACAATGTGAAACTCAATTCTCACAATTATGAACCAGCTTTATTAGTAACTACTTGACTCGCCTTCTAATTATACAAAATCTTTTAATTGCTCAAATGCAACATTGATCACTACATTTAAATACTATTTGCTATGTTCTTTTTGTTCCCTCCTCCCATTTCAGGCCTCGCAAATTAACAACATTTTACACCTTACAACTTATCACACATTCTTGACTACAATGTTGTTAGCACAAAAACCATAACAATTTGCCATTATCAATGTGATTCTGCAGATTGAAAATGAGACCAATATTCCTTAACAAGTTCCCTGAATAACGATCCTTCTCTCTTCATCAAGCACATTGGTTCATCATACTCCACCAATTTTCCTGTCAATACAAATATTAAGTATCCTTTTCTTTGATGAAAACAAATGATAAAAAATATTATTCACTTTTTTCATATAAACAATAAAGTGTGAAAATCAAATACCCCATATTTTACAAGTTATTATTTTTATGCCACAGAAGTAATAATACTAAATCAACTACATCATTGTTTATTATTTTACCCTCTAACTAGGTGAATGCAACCAAACCCTTAGCCAAACAACAAAACTATAATGCAGTGTATGGCAAACCAAGTGGTATTGGGCAGAAGTCTAGTTAAGAGAAGATTAATCCACTATTTTCACTCTTAATTTTCCACATATTTAAGAAAGGATAGTTTGACATCAACATAAGAAAATAGAAATAGAGTTGCAGATTAGTCTAAAGAAGTTTGTTGAATGAGATACAGGGACCGGAAAATTGAAACTTACCATCACTGATTGAAAGAACCATAGTGCAATCCACCACAGTTGGTATCCTGTGTGCTACTGTGATCACTGTACAATCTGCAAATTCAGTTCTAATTGTTTTCTGTAGAATCAAATCAGTTGCATTGTCAATTGATGCAGTTGCTTCATCCAACACCAGTATCCTACTTCTCCTCAAAAGGACACGCCCCAAACAAAACAATTGCCTTTGTCCCATGCTCCAATTTGATCCATCTTCAACAACTGCAAAATAAATTTCCACTTGTGATTACTAACTAGGAATGAGTACTTACAACATACTTCCTCCATTTTAAATTAAGTGACGTTTTAGCCAAAGAAAGGGATCATATTAAGTGGCGTTTTAAGATTTCAATGAAACATAATTCTTATCTTCCAATTCTACCCCAACTAAATTATGAATATAATAGTTTTTGAATACTATGCAAGTAAAGGTTTCAGCAAACTAACAGAATAATAATATAGTTTAGTAAAATTACTTCACTAATTAAGGTATCTAATATACTCTCCTTACGCATAAATCAATTTGAAATGGAGGGAGTAATGACAATAATGATCAAAGTGTACCTGACGAGTTTAAACCCTCTTCTTTCTCTTGGACAACTTCTTTCAATTGACACTTCCCAAGAACCTTCAAATTAAGCAAGATTTAGTGCAAACTAACATGAAAAGCAAAGATAAACATAATGTTGTTTTTCTGACATGTGCAGAAGAGCACATAATAAAACAAGTTTTTATTAAATATTATATAATTCAATACATTGATACTATTAAATGCTATAATTTTTAGTAAAAATTTATTGATATATTATTTTGTGCCTTTTTGCCCAGGTTAAAAGGTCAAAAATAATATATGGCAGCTTTTACCTCCCATATCTCTTGATCAGAGTGTTGAGATAAAGGGTCCATGTTATATCTAACTGTCCCATTAAAAAGGGTAGGATCTTGAGGAATAACACCAAAACGTGACCTCAAATCATGAAGGCCAATAGAAGAGATGTCTATGCCATCAACTATAATTTTTCCACCTGCAGGCTCCACTAGGCGAAATAAAGCACCTATAAGAGTGGACTTCCCACTACCTGTCCTACCAACAATTCCAATCTTGTGTCCTGCTTTGAACGTGCATGTGATACCATCAAGAACAAGTGGTCCATCAGGCCTGTATCTTATCTGTCTTGAAATAAACAAGTGAGTTATGCACTTTATTTCAATGACCATTTTCTAAACAATATGATTCATATTTTAAGTACTAATTACCTTTAAGTCATTTAGTTCTACTTTGCCTGCAACAGGCCAACTCAAAGGAGGACGATTTCCTTCTATTACTTCTTGGGCCTCACTTGGTATATGCATATATTGATTTAGCCTCTCTACTGATATCATGTAATTAGCAATATTGCATTGACTTTGAATTGAAAATACTAGCTGAGCATTTAGTGAAAGGCCATATGAGAGAGCCATCCCAATAAATCCTGAAACAAAGGGCACTAAAATTAATAAACTTTGTTTGAGGAAAAAGCAAAGAGAAATACTAGCAACATACTCTTTCTGACACACTCCTTATTAGTGGTTGAAATTTATTGAAAATTACAAAATCTATGTGGGTCTCTCTCCTAATTTAATGAGTCTAACTCATACTATTGTAGTTTCCAACAAATTTCAGCCAATACTAAAAATGTGTTAGAAAGTATGCTGCTACCACTTATATTTTGAAGATTATATATTCAAAACAATTAATAGACCAAAATCTCACCAGAGGTGAATGTCCCAGGTGGAAGCATAACCATGAAAAGTGCTGCAGAGGCAAGAAGTACTGCACTAACTATTTCTAATCTTTGGATCAACCATTCATTTGAAGCAAAACTATGGAAGAAAGGACTAGCATTGATATCAATTAGATCAAGATTCTTATAAAAAAAACGATCTTCTTCCTCAAAGGCTCTTATTGTCACAGCTCCAGCAGTGGTTTCAGCTACATGATTTGCTACAAAGGATTTTGTTGTGCCATTCATGCGCATTACTTCTTTTGCAGTAGCAAAATAGTATCTCTAGTTTTTAAGAAAAAAAAATTACCTTGATTACTTTCCAACCAAGGACATTTTAAATTCTATTGAAAAATTATTAACATGTTACCAAAACATAAAAGCTAAAGGATAATGAGCATTGCTTAGTAAAATTTGATGGTTTTCTCAATGTTAATAATGAAAGAAAATATCAAAGAAAATATCATTTAGTATCAGAATATTTTATAAAGAAGAATCTGTTCATTACCTGCAATCGAATTGCAACATAAATCATCGGTACAGAGATTATCAATACTTGCCAAGTGACAACTGCTAAAACTGTGAGATTGGAATAAAAATTGATAGTACCTCCCACAGCATAAGTGAGGATAAATGGGAGATCAATATCCATAATACTTAGATCTGAAGAGACCTATACAAGGAAATGATCATTAGAAAACTGTTGCTTAAATTACAATTCATTGCAAGGAAAGAAACTGTGTTCAATTAAATATGTTTTTGGCAACCTCTTAATTTTCCATGTCATTATTTAACAGTCAATTGAGACTAAAAGAGTTGAATTTAGAAAAATCAGGGAACAAAAAAAAGTTAGAGGGACTAAACCTGAAAAGTTCCAAAAATGTAGAGAGACCAAAAATATATTTAAGTCAATTGTTTAATACACTTACCCTACTAAGTATCCTTCCCAATGGTGTAGAGTCATAAAAAGACATTGGTGCACGAAAAAGGGAGTTCATTAACTGTAAAAATAAATATTTTGATGATTGCATACCCAAAGCAACCACTAGCAAACCTCTGGTCATTGAGAAAATTGTAGAAACAGCTCCAATCAAGAAGTAAACTAAAATCAACCGCAATGTGCTGACATGTGGATTATCAACATTAGCAGCCATCCATGAATTTTGCAATATTTGGCAAATAACAAACATAAGGTGGCAAAGGGAAGCCACAAAGAAGTAAATATAGCCTTTCATCTGATTCAGATACTGTAAGTATGGCCTTAACCCTTTGTCTCCTATCTCTCTCTCTTCTTGCTTTATTAATTGATTTCCATTTTCTGCTTTGAACTTCTTCTCCATGAAAGCTTGTGTAATCTCTCTAGCAGAAGTTGAATGTCTCTGGGAATAAGTATCATTCACAGGATTGTCAGAGCCAGCAGTTTCCTTGTGCGCATTTACAAGATCTTGGAACTTTTGGCTTGTGGTCAATAAATGATGATAAGGAGCAGCTTCCAGAATTTCCCCATCTGACATCAACTTTGAAGAAATAAAATTGAACAAATATTTTCATCAGTAAAAGTTAAATCCATTAGAAATGATCATCGCAATAATGTATTGCACATCATTCAACATATCTTACAATAATGATCACAAAAATGAAATCAATAACTTCCAAATTCCTTAAAATTTTACAAATTACTAGTTACATGGATGAAGCAAGGAAAAGAAAAATCAACGAGGACAAAGCCATATGATTAAGATGAAGAAAAACATACCAAAACAAGGTCAAATGCTGGCAGGAAGTCAACTTGATGAGTCACTAGCAAGACAGTTTTCCCTTTGAGTCCTTCCATGATATATTCCTATCAAATTTCAAAGTCATCTTTTAGTAAAAAATGACATTTAAGATTCAGTATGTGAAGAAAGGAAGATGTAATTACATTAAACAAACTAGTAGCAGTGTGTGCATCAACAGCACTGAATGGATCATCCAAAAGATATACATCAGCATTTTGATAAAAGGCACGTGCAAGTTGAACTCTTTGTTTCTGACCTCCACTTAAATTAACTCCTCTTTCACCTATTTCTGTGAGGTCACCATGTGGTAACAACTCAAGGTCCTTCAGTAGTGAAGATCTTTGAAGTGTTTCTTTATACCTTTGAGCATCTAGCTCAGATCCAAACAAAATATTTTCCCGTATAGTACCTGTTTGTATCCATGCTGTTTGAGAAACATATGCAAACTTACCATGAACTTCAATCTGTAATTTAGAAAAGAGAATTGTACTCATATTATTACATCTAAAATAAAAGAGATGTATTAAATATAATAGTTAGTAGGAAACTTATCCTAGTGATGTGAGTATCACAAGATGTAGTAATTTATTCTACGATCATGAAAAGAATAAAAGCTTACAGTTCCTTTTATCATTGGAACTTCTCCAAGAATTGTAGCTAAGAGAGTTGATTTTCCTGACCCAACTTCTCCACAAATTGCCAACTTTTGCCCATGTCGTACCTCCAAGTTTAGGTTCCTTAGTGTTGGCTTCGATACATTGCCTTCCCACGAAAAGTCAGCGGATTTGATTAAAACTGAGCCTTTAACACTATCGTCAAAACACTTGTTCCTAAAATTTTCACTTTGCAGTTCAGGTGCCTCAAGGAATTTAACGATCCTGGCAAATGCAACTTTTGCTTGAATGACCACCCCAATAACATCTGGGATGGCTGTAATTGGCTCTTGGACAAGGCGCAAAGTTGCCACAAAAGTGAACACATTACTTGCATGTAAAGGAATTTTCAAAAAGTAGCATGCCACGAAAGAAGCAGAAGAGACCAATATAGGTGCGGTCCAAAATAGAAAGATATTGTAGGCCTTTCTCAATTGCACTGCACCTAAAAATTTGAGTTCCACATTTCTTAACCTTTCTATAGCATTTTTAAAATGAGTTTCCCATGCATATAGCTTCAACACTTTCATATTCACAAGAGCCTCAGAACTGGCCTTCAATCTCTCATCTTGTGCTACCATAAGTTCACTTTGAAACTTGTGTTGCAACTTTGCTAGTGGAGTATTGCAAAGCAAAGTGAGAACTATCACCACCAATGAGGCAACTGTTGCTATCCCAATAGCTTGAAAAAGTATTACTAATGCAATACATAGTTGGAGACTTGTCGTCCATGTTTGATGGAACCAAAATGGAAATTCACCAATTCTATAAGCATCCACAGTCACGTAATTCATTATCTCACCTCCAGAGTGTGTCAATCTAGCTGCATTGGATAACCTCAATAGTTTTTTATAAATGGCTGCTGTAAGTAATGATCTAACTTTCATCCCAACAACTCTACAACGAAAATACCATTGCCTTTGTGAAAGGGATTCTATGATCTTTATAAAGAAAAGTGATATGACCAATACATAACCCTCATATTTGAAACTTTCATTACCCTCAGCAACCAATATAAATGCATTCAAAAGTACAGGACCAGTAGACAAGGTGAGCACCTTGAGCAATGCAAACAATCCTGACGTCAAAATCTCTCTCCAGTGGCACAAAACTATTGTCCGCAAAACAAATGACTGTGATAATGGTTCTTTTTGTTTTTTTCTGTTCAATTGTTCTACAAATGACAAATAGCAACTTTCTGCTCTATCTGATTCCCCCAACTTTGGGATATCCTCATCTTGGAGAGTTTTTTCTTGACCCTTTTTCATCAATGGATTCAACCACCAAAACAACATCTTACTGAAGAATCCAGCTTTGGAAAATGGGGTCACATGGCCACCAAAATCAACTTCATTGAATTGGCTATTTATAGGATCATAAAGACTTTCATCAATTTCTCCATTACTGTCTTTACATACTTTATATGTGCATAAAAGTAGTAAAACTGCTCCTGAAAAAGACAGAACATCTAAAGCTATCTTGAATGACAGTTCCTTATTGTTAATTGCATAACATAAAGATATAGCACAGAAAATGGCAGAAACAAAGAATAGAAGAATAGAAAACAGCCACAAACATGCTCTTGAAAGTTTTTTCAGGTGAAGACTTATAGTTAAGCCTAATAACAACCATGTGAATCCTTGACAGAGTTCTAGCAACCACAGATCAAGAGGAAACGCAGTGTGACTTTTCCTTAATTTCTCCTCTAAAACCCAAATGCCTAAGCACAAATGTAACAACCCAAGGGAGCCATTGATTATGGTAGAAACTAGTTGCAAGTTTGAATATCTTTGCATACGGAACTGACACCGAAATGGTCTCAACAAAGACTTGTGGATCATAACTAAAGATAATACTATCAGCAGCAACACATCACAGCAAATGATCAGCAAGTGGTTGATGCAAGAGGAAGGATCTTTCAAAAACTTGAAATCATAACACAAAGGCTTTGCTCTCTCTCCACAAGTATCAGAATCCCCACAAACCATGCTCCAAAACTCCTCCATCTTCTTTGTAGCTTCTACTTGCTACTTAAACTCTGCAACATATAGAGAAACAAAAATCATGTATTTACTAAGAAAATTTTGTCTTACATGGCACGCACAAAAACAAAAAAAGAACACAAAAACTGAGTCATGAATAATAAAATACGCAACCCAATTGGCTGCCAAGGATCAACTCAACCAAAAACTTGAGTTTTTAGACAAGGGCTACAACTCACTCATACAAGGTTTTTGTGCTTGAAATAAGAAACCTTGAGTTAAAATTCAAATTCAAAAGAATGGAAGTGACAAGTATATTAGTCTCTGGTCTTTCTACACGTATATGTTTGATTATCATGCTAAACACTTTCTTCTAAAAGCTTAGGTTATTAGTAGCTCTTAGGAACTGCAGCAACCAGCAAACATCACAAAGCTGATTTTAAGAGAAAAAAATATCTAAAATGTAAGATAAACCAGAAAAAGAAAATATAAGTTTGATTGAGATAATTTAAAAAAAAAAAAAAAAAAACTCTCACGTCACTAAAAAAATAATTATTTATAAAAGAAAATAAGCTAAAACCAAGTAGTTAACTGTAACTTTACGTAACATTAAATGCATGTTTCAATGATGTTAGTTCTAGCAAAATGATCACTTAATTTAACAAGAATCACAAAATTAAAAAAAAATAGTGATTATTTCCTGGAAAGAAAAAAATCAAACATGCGCATTTTTTAAAACGAAGTTGCATATGCACCCCTTCAAAGGAGGATCAGCTGCAATCCTTAAATGGCAACAAGTATTTCAAGAACACTATGCCCCTGTAAAGTAACTATTAAGTACTTCTAATAGATCTTTCCATTGTTGCAACAAGAACCTGTTTCAGCTAGCTATGTCAGTCGAGGGTGTTCAGATACTGAATCATATACTCTTAACACAAAGCATTTGGTTCAGAAAGATGGTAAAGGAGTATGAATACGAAGAGTGCAAAAGACCCTTACATATTGTTGAATTCCACTGGGACACGGGAACTAGAATGTGTTTGAGTGTAGAAGGAAATTTGATCATGCCATAAAGCGTTTAACTCATTATAATAAACATGAAAAGTAGAGACATAGAAAGCTTGGAGAATGGAATAGATCAATGACTCATTTATAAAGTCTCAACAGTATCTTAACTTGTTTTACATTTTCTTTTAATTTAAAACAACTATATTCTGATAATAAAATTTGAAATCACAGCTTAAACTAATTAAAATAATCTTGCTAATTAATTCATGTAATCGCTTATATATAATTTTTAAATATAAATGATAAAAAATTAATGAATAATATATTTTTATTTAAATTTATAATATTAATGCTATTAACGTATTCAATTATGTGATATTATGTAATTTTTAATAAACAATTCATTCTATATAAATTTTTATTTTGTACTCTTAAACAAATATTAGAAAAACTATATTACTTATTAAATTTGTTATCAGTAAATGTTAACTAATGTCGATAGTCAAAAATTAAAGTAAAGAAATTATGTTAAAAAATATTATTAATCTGTTTATACTCAATAATTTTAATGCTTTTTATTTTTATTTCTTTAACAACTATATTAAGGACACTAATCGGTGACACCATTTATTATTTCGTTGTCTTCTGTTCTTTTCTCTTTTTGAAGTACAGACAACTGAATAAGTTCTGCCAAACATTGTTCATATATTAAAGCAGACTAATACGAAACTCGAGATGAAAAAATGAATGATAGGTGCTGAAATATTAAAAATACTAAATGCGAAGATGTAATTTGGTTATAAATACATTAAAAATCGAAGTAGGTGATTAATAAGTTGAAGGTACGTGGTTGTCTCTCATGTAAAACGAAAAGGTCCTTGTCTGTGTGCTGGAAAAAGCAAATTATTGGTGTGAATTTTGTTTATTCTTTTACCAGTCAATTGGCATAAGAAAGGTGAAGTGGTGTTTGTGGAAGACAACACCGTGGAATGTGGAAACTGGAATTTGTAGACGACAAGAGTGAAGAGTTGGAAGAAGAGTGAGTGTAAAGTGTCAAGTGTTATTTATATAATATTTTTTTATCATTTTATAAAAAATAAATAATTATATATTGTAAAATTTTAGTGTATTTTAAAAGTATAAATAATTATTTTAGTGCCTCATATATAATAACATTTTAATTTTCATTTTTATGTTAATCATCTCAATCGGTATCCTTATCTCTTCTCTTGTTTTATTGTATAAAAAATTAAGTAAACTATTTGTTATAAAAATTTAATTTCTCTTTAAAATTTTCATTGAATAAAAATATTTTTAGAAAAGAATTTCTATTTTTAAGAATTTTCTTAAATCAACCGTTAAATATAAATTATGAGTACTAATTTATGAAAAATGGCATTTTTAATAATACATATTAAATTTTATTTAATATGATAAATTAATAATAATAAAAATGAAGTAATTAATTTCTAAAAAAATTTATTAAATTTATCCAATTTGAAAATAATATATTTTAAATTATTTATGTAAAAATTTTAAATTTAATTCAATGATACATGTGCAGTGCATGAAAATATTACTAGTTTAACTAAAATACATAAATAGTAGAAAGATAAATAAATAAATATTAATGTTCTAAAAATATTGTTAAAAATTTGCTATAATAAATATATAACAATATATTTTTTGAAAATTTTAAAAAACGTTTAATATATTTTAATAGAAAATATTATGTATTAGTTTATTAACGAGTAAGATTATGAAATGTTACCTTGGAAAAGAACAAAAAGATTATCAAGTTAGCGGTGATCGGTGGAGATTGGCATCCTAGTGACACATTGGCTGATAACGGAGCTTCGTCGTTATTCTGTTTGGCGTCGAATCTATTCATTCTATCGTCACCGGTTTCATCAAAATTTGTGGAACCATTTTCATCATTAATCCTTCCTTATTCTTTATCAAAAATACATTATTATTATTATTTAAATTTTTATCTAAAATATTGTTTCAATTTGTAGCTTATAAGAGAATCATAAAAAAAATTCAGATTATATGCCTATTCTCAGTGGATCAAGACTACCTAATCTCAAAAATACATTATGTGAAGACATTGTTAATAAAATTAATAATGCTATAATAAAAAAGAATAACCTAAGATAAAATTAAAAAATAAATTAAATGATCAAAATATTATTTTGATCATAAAAAAGCGCAATATTAAATGAAAAAATGTTTAAAGAAACATTATTGCAAGTTGAATGTAGGTGCATGATGGTGAGGGTGGTGGTGTGCATATTCTATGATAGATTCACGCATTAAAAATTGATGTATAATGTGTAATATCTACAGAAGATGACAACACAGGTTTTAGCAATTATGAAAGTGAACTCACAAACTTTAAACTTAGTCGTAACCAACTCAGATTTTATGCCACTCACTCATCAGAATCATCAAGACTTCTGACTATTGCTATTTTTATACACAATAATTCACGTAAGAATGCTACCAACGCCCTGCTACACTATTTTTTATATAATTTTAATTTATTAGGAATTATATAAATTTTATTCTTTTACTCTTAAATCAATATTTTATTTATATAATTTTTAATAAATTTCAATCAATAATTTAAAATATATTAAAAAAATATGTCTGAACATATATTGTTGTTCGTTGAACATATTAAATGAGCTATAACATGGATCAAACGATAGATGCATGACGATCTACGACATAGTAGGTTTTAAAATTAAATGTGCATTGAATAAAGATATTAATAACGATGTCAAATTTTTTATAAGTATTACATCATATATTAAATAAGAAATATATAAATTTTTAAATATTTAGTTAATTAAAATTTTAAATTCATATAAACACTGCACTCGAATTTTTTTAAATTAATAAAATGTTACATAAAAATTTCATTTATAAAATAAATTCTTAATCATTTTAAATAATTTTATAAAAATAAAATCTTTGATATAATTTTTCATCATTAATTATTGTATTTTTGTTTCTTTATCAAATTTAATCCACTTTTTTATATTTAATTTTGTAAATTATTCAATCCATCAAGTTTATTGGTATATTTATTTTTAACTTAAACATCACAATTTATTTTATATTTTCATTTTTCAATTTGTGTTAAAGAATTGAAATTAATTGATGGATTGACACCCAATTAAAAGAGTATATACTTATAAGTCTAAATTATTTCAAGCATGTCTGACAAACAAATTATTTAAATTTAAAATTCACTTTCTCTTAATTTTAATTGGATTTGTATTTAAAATTTTAATATAGTATTATAATATAAAAAAATTTTAAAACAAAAAGACCCAAAATTTAAAAAAGAAACTTGCATGGACATTAAAAAAATAAAGAAAAAAATTATAAATCTTAGAAGAAGAAAAAAAAAACATAAGATCAAACTGTAGTTAAACTTAAAAAGAAGTGTTATGACATTGTCTAAAACACTTTGAAAAAACAAATTACTCAAAATTTATTTTCACTCTCTCTCTCTCTCTCTATATATATATCTATCTATCTTTCATCAGACTAACTTTCAAAATTTTAATAATTTGAGATAACAAATGTGTCATACACGAAAAATATTACAATAACAAAATATTCCATGGAAAGGCTCACACTATTTTTATATTGTTTTCTGTAAATTAAAAAACATTACTTGAATTTTTAAAATAAAATAAAAATCAAAACCACATATTTTTATGTATTAAAAAATAGAATGTGAAAATGATATCTAGGAAGGCTTTGTTTTCATGCAAATACATTAATGGGAGACCATGTGAGTCCATCACAGAGTGCTCTTGATCTGCAATACCCATTAATCTTTAATGCTTACTTTTTTTTATCATATTATTTATTGTTTATTTTCTTTCCAATTTTTTTTCTTTTCTCTACCTATTTTTTACTTAAAGACTGTGTTTAGGAGGAGAGGGAAGGAGAAGAAAAGGATTAAAAGAAATTAATCATTGTTTATGAGTTGCTTA